AAGTTGGTTGTAGTATTAGTATTTCAAGTATTCGTCCTATAGGAAATGCAATTAAACGAAATGGTTTCGTTTTGGCAGGTAAAAATAATTTTAATGTTCTTAGTAATTTACTAAAAACCTAATAGTTAAACATTTTAGCTTCAATACTTAGTTGCAAAGGTATTGTTTTCACATTAATGTTTTTATTTTTGTGTATGCTCCATGGTGTTTCTTAAATTGCTAACTTTGGATAGTGTAAGATAAATTAATTATTATTTTGTTCCCCTTTGAATCGCAGGTGGCCCCGGTGGTTCCACACACCCTTTCTACATTTAATTACATATTTTCGCATTACAAACTAGTTAAAGTTCTACTAGGCAGTATTAATTGTTATTAACCTAACTTAACCTCACCATTAGTAATAACTAAAAATAATTTTTATCATCATTAAAATCATTTTCACTTTTGTAAATAACATAAATATCACATTTTTTTAAACAACATATTTTGATAACCATAAGACATTTATATCAAAATCCAATAAGTGTTTTAGGCCTGTTTTTTTGGTAAAAACATACTTACCAATTTTTTAATACTAAATAATATTGTATACAAGGAGGTCTCGTGTCTTCGGAAATTCATTATAACTGTAATCAATTAAATCAATTAATAAATAATTTAATTGACAATAAATGGGCTGTTAATCGGTTAATTTTATATTTCTTCAAAAGAATGGTAAAGGTGCGTATCTTATGAACTTTTCTACTTGGGATTAATGAATTAAAAATTTGAAGTGGTCGATAGGGGAATGGGAAATTTATAATGTATACATAATATGTAAAAATTATTTAATAATCAAAAAAATACTTTTTTTAATAGTTTAATTCATAGTCATAATTTGGAGAGGCTAGAGAATAAGATTAGGCTAATTAATGTACATAAAATCTTAAAACTTTGTCATATATACTAAGCCTTTTTTTTTTTGCCAAAATGTATTATGGCCGTAATAGGTTATAACTTCCAAATATTTTAATGAACAATAAGTAATATTAATAATGTAGTTGATGATGAATTAGTCACTTTGCCTGGCTTTCAAAATCCATCTTCAACTTCGTCTATTCTTGGAATGAGTCATTATTGATTATTCATACACAAATGTATACATTTGATACTTTCATAAAGATGACCTATTTTTTTCTGCAATGTTATGAGTATATAATCTTTATAGAACTAGATTATATTTAACAAAAACAATAATTTATGGACTTAATATTTTCAGGAGTCACGCATTATAAATGGTACAAGCCTAAATAACATTATCGTTATACTTATAGCGGTAATATTGTTTTTGGTAGTTCTATACTATAAAATAGCAAACCGGAGAAAGACGTCATTGGCAAATCGAATACCTGGTCCAGATGGATTCTTTTTAGTAGGAATGTTACCCGTTTTACTTGGAGGACCTGAAAAATTATTGATAAATATTTTAAACAATGCCAGAAAGTAATTACATATATATTAACGAATTTCTATTACATTGTATTACTATATTAACTATTTCATGTCTTAGCTCTGGCACATAACCGAAAAAAGTGTTACCAAAAATTAATAACGAAAAAAGTTTTTCAGCCCAGTCTGCATCCACGAAAGAGCATTTTCATGTCTCGTTGAATTACCAAATAAATTTAGATTAGTGGTGGAATTATAGATAATGAAATAGTATATGAACTAGCTAGTATCTAAGGTGGCTAGTAAACGTATCAAGTTTCTGGCTAATATTTTAGTGTTATCATATTAACTGGTTTTAAACAATTCATAGGAAATATGATGACCTGTTTATTTATAGAATTTGTATTCACTTATAATTTGATCTTTGTGATTACAACATATCTATTATCTCTAACCTTTTTTCAGATAATAGCGTTACGCTTTTTTCGATTATGTGCCAAGGCAAACCATCCCTATTACCACTCCCAACCCCATTACCACCCCAACCCCATTTAAGCCAGATATTTAACACTACATAATTAGGCAGAAATTGATGTTTTAATATACTAGCTTGTTACTGCTTATTAATATACTATATCATTATCTATAATTCCACCACTACTCTAAATTTATTCGGTACTTCAACGAAACATGAGAAAGCTCATTCGTGGTTGCAGACTCGGCTAAAAAACTTTTTCTATTAATTTGAGAGCAACAATAACTACATAGTATGTTTGTGATATAGATACGAGAATACTTTAATTAAATGGTGATTTTTAGATAGCAATAATTTGTTCTTTGTTTTTGTAATACAGTTATGATCACACTTTATTCAAAGCATGGGTTTTTAATCAATTGTACATATTTTCTAAAACACCTGAAGTCTTAGAAGCAGTTCTTACCAATCCTAACCTGTTCAGCAAATCTAAAGAATATAAGGTGTTAAACGAATCACTTCCGGGCAATGGAATTTTAACTAACAATATGTTCCATGAATGGAAAAAGAACAGGTGAACTTTTTTTGTATTATCTTATATTTATATATTATTATAGAAAAACAATTCTTCAAAATTCGTAAAAAAGAAACAATATAGCGTCAATATGTATACCACATTCTAAAAAATAATGTACACTGTTAATACTTGACTATTAAATTCTCGGAATACAGTTTTTTTACCAATAATTATAATGTTTTCTTTAAAAGTTACCTAATGTCAAATATAATTTTAATTTGGTATGATAAAATGTATAGAAAAATGGTAGCTGCGGGGTTTAAATTTTCAATGCTTAAATCGTTCGTACCAATATTTTACGAGGAAGCAAAATTCTTGGGCAAAATATTGTACGAAAAAAGAGAAATCAATTCAAATGAATGTGAAATAAGCTCTGCAATCGGTATGGCGACTTTGGAGATGATCGGAAGAACCGCTTTCGGTGTAAAATTAAATGCACAAAAAAACGGAAATCATGAGTTTTTTGACAATTTACAAGTCGTCCTAAAGGTATGCTTACTACTTTCAGTGTTTCTTAACCATATTATTTTTAAACCAGGTATGAAACACTAAAATTTAAGATCCAGGGCCAGAAAATTTCTCCGTGCCCCTAGAGAACTTATCAGTAAGAACCAACATTAACACGTTGAGTGCCAATGGTTTTTCTACATAGTGATTAAAATTTGCCATGATACCCAAAATTGAGTCTCACCAAAATACAAAAAAATACGCAGTGAGACCCAAAATTAGGTCTCATCATATATATGTTTTTAAGAGGTGATACCCAGAAACGGGTCTCATTTATCAATATTTTACTGTCGGAATCGAATTCTACAGTGTTGCCACTTCATATTGGTTTTTGTAGAAACTAAATAGCTTATTAACTTTTTTTGCTATGAATTTTTTGATTCAACAAAAGTTTTACTTACGTTCTCAAACATAACCAACTTAAATGTATGGTATTGTTTTTTCACGTACATAATTCATACATTTTATCAATATATGTATCAATAATATGTAAAATATATTTTATTAAAAAAAATTACATATGTTTAATTTATCCTTTTACTTTTTTTTTCTGCTTTATTACTTGCAAATGATTGGAGTGAGTTATTATAAAATTAAATTTTAAATACAATGAAAATTTCTTTTTATTTCTAAAAAATAATATGATCAAGTATTTGAAGTTTTCCAAATTACGTACGTTTGTTTTTAGTGTGAGGTAATTTTGAAGTGTCTTTTTTCTGAACAACAGCTTTTTTGGTAGACTCAAATATATTTTTCATAGCTTAAAGACAACATTGTGTAAAATCTTCATACAACTTTATGGTACTTAGTATTATCTTATATTAGTGTTATGTTCAGGAATTTTACTTTCAGAATCATTCGAAAATATTTACACTATTTACATGACTTGAGGTTACTCCTACTTGGATGTCTTGACTAGTTTGCCAACGTTTCGGAACACTTGCACGTTACATCTTCAGGGCTGTGGTTTGATGTTGCTCGTACCGCGCTTTCCTGCTGGCTGACTGATTCTCTTCCGTGGGTGTAGCTTATATACCATACCCCCACCGCATTCTCCGCTTCCTCTTGCCGCTGCCAGCTGTTTTCTACGGCCGGCTACCACATGACTGATTTTCATTACCGTTATCAATAGTTTCTTGCTGTATTTCCGGCTCTCTTTATCCCGTTTGGTCTCCGGTTTCCATTCGAAAATAGTTTTTCTTTTGGTAGTCCATTGGGATAAAGAAACGGAGAGCCGGGGCCATACCCCTCCTTGGTTCCCATTAATTTGGTCCTGCAGTGTAAACAAATTATCATTATTCCTAACATACTTTGTAACTAAAATATTCTATGCAGAAGATGTTTTTGAGCTGGCATGTCAACCTTTTGTAATAAAAATTTGTTTTTTAGGCTTGGGAACACCGAATCACATACCCTTGGTTTATGAACAAGAGTCTATTTCAGTTGTCGGCGTTTAAACGTAAACAAGACATAAGTCAAAGAAAAATTTACAAATACATCGATGATTTAGTTCAGAGAATAAATACTGAATTGAAAAATAATAAAAACAGTCAAGGAGAACATAACGAAGAGTGTATGGGCTTTAAATCTAAATCTTTTATTGAAATACTGCTCGAGAATGAACATCAGATGACATTTAACCAAATACGAGATGAAATAATAACTATTATAGGTGGTACGTTTTTATTGAAAAATTGTATTTGAAGAAAATTGGTGACGTGTGTATTATAGTTGGTCTTTTTAAGATTTAGTTCGTACTTTTATTACTTATAACAGTGTTTAAACGTTTGAAAAAAGTGAAAAATCTAGGGCGGGGATTGAACTCAATTATTTATTTATGTTGTTAATCGTGCATAGAAAACCCGATTATTAATTTGATCCAATGCCGTAAATTCAACTCAAATAAAACACAATTGACCACGTTCAATTCCCTAACAAATAAACAATGTGTACATATTAAAGCATTCTGACAATTTTTTTAAATTTGGTTTTAGCGGGTCATGACACGACAGCTACAACGAATGCATGTACAATATTTATGTTGGCTACTCATCAGGATGTACAAAATAAAGTAAATTATAATTCGTATTTAGTTTTATTAATTATGCAAAATAAAACATTTTATATATTCATGGTAATTATATATTTTTTATTTCTGCTTATAAATAGGTGTGGGAAGAATTATTGGCAATATTTTCTTCTGGCGACCCAGATCGACAACCTACCTATGAGGATTTACAAAAGATGGATTACTTGGAACGTGTAATCAAAGAAACTCTGAGACTCTATACCGTTACTCCCTTGTTTGCCAGAAAAGTCGAAAAGGAAACAATGATTGGAGGCTATTTAATCCCGGAAGGTACGGCCGTAGACTAATTTGTTTGATAGGTTGTCACATTTGGTGCTTAAATTTACTAATACAATTTATTTTTAAAAATATCTACAGGGTCAACGTTCATGATATACACTCAGCTTTTACACTTAAATGCAAATTTTTACCCGGAACCAGAAAAGTTTAATCCAGACAACTTCTTGCCCGAAGCATGTCGCAGTCGCCATCCGTATTCGTTCATTGCCTTTAGTGGCGGTTACAGGAATTGCGTTGGTAGCAAATATGCAATGCTTCAAATGAAAACTGTCATCTCAACACTAGTCCGGTCCTATCGTTTTTACCCGTCGGATAAATGTCCCAATCCTGAAAATCTTCGTTTAAAGTATACGATGACACAGAAGTTTGTCGACGGGTGTTACGTTAAAATAGAAGCGAGAACATAATCAATTAATGTAGCATGGTTTTGAACCAATATGATTACTTCTTATTCAAATAAGGGTTTCATCTGGATAATTGTGTTATCATATTTTTTGGATTTTAGATACATCGGTGTTGGTTAACAAAAATAATATCTATATTTAATAACTAATGACAAATTGTTGGTGTTGTCGCGTCTCAATGTATTTTCTACAAACTGTTTAAGCTGTCTATATAAATGTTTCCTTCGTTTTTAGTCATAATTTATCCGTTCAATTAATAAATTCTTTATATAAACATCTTTATTTAGTATAAGTAGAGTAGTATAAGTGAATAGAAAGTAATACTCTCTGAAATATTCAAAATATCATGGTACTTTTGTATGACTAATAATAATTATAATTATAAATTATAAGGCATGTGATGTTACGTGTAGATGACTTTATCTATATTTGTATAAGTACATTAGTAGATGAAAAAAACGTGGTTCTTTTGTTGAAATGATAATTCTGCTATGCATAGCCCTAACGTTAAAATTTGTTGTGATTGTGTAGTTTTGTGTAATAAAACAAACATATCGGTGTACCTCTGTCTGCTCTTTAAAACTGTCCAAGCTCATTTTTAAATATGTTGTATTATTTATTTTCGTTAACTTTCAAGAAAATAAGTGTATCCTCAAAATATAATTTTATCAACATTTTGTTGACGTTCAAGTGCCAATTTGGCGTATTTATAAGTATAGTTCTATTGTGGACAAACAATTTTATATTTTCATCTATTTTGATTTTAAAGATATATATTTTTTTCCCATAAAAGCATAAAAAATAACTTTGCCTTCAAAGTTATAGTATGAAATTAGTTTAGTACTAGTTAAGTAAAATGAAGTTAAGGTTAAAACTATTTAAACCTTAGAGGTGAAATAACTTTGAAAGTGGATAAATCAATAAACAGGATATCTTTCTATGGATATTTTTTAAAGATGTCAGTACAGCATAAAATATAATATAATAAAAGAAACGAGATTTGAGGTTGTTGGTTTACCTAAATATCAATACAACCAACTGTTTCGAAGCAGAAAATGACTTATTTATTAATGTATATTTAAATACTGTTAAAATTGAACATTACCTGATCTTTTATTGTTTCCATAAAACCTATATGTAAATGCCACAAAAGCTCAAAAATGTTTTGGTATGTAAAATTTACAGTTACATAATTTTCAGCAATGTCCATATAGATTTATTCAATTATACATTATTAAATTATGTATATTTTTGGGATAATAGTTATAATAAATGTAAAATTTAAAAAAACGTTAAAATATCTCACAATCCATTGCTATACCTTAGGAATACTAATAGCTAAGAGACATGTTAATCTAATTCTAAAGGTATAAATACTATTTAACCCTACACAATTTATCAATAGAACTATTTTTCTTACACAAATACTAGTGTATGCGACTTATGAATAAGTTTCTTGATATCAAATACTTATTCTTGAAAAACGTATTACCTTATATATACAAATTTCAGTTAATTAATGTCAATATCTGCGAGGAAAAATCAGTGCAACATTAATTTACGCCGTACTTGGAAAGCTCAAAAATATTTTAGTTATATAGCTTTTAATTATACCACTAAACTTCCATTTGACTACCAATTTATTGGCTTTGTAAGTTGAAATGGGATATTAGGCGGTTTATATATTGATGTGACCGTACAATTTGTAACTTCTACTGTGAGAATTTCTATGTTGTTGATTTCTATATGACTTGTTGAGAGGATCTTTAGATTATAACTAACAAATATCATACTTCTATACTTCTTATGTGGTCTCTCAATTGCCACCTTCATTCCCCTTATCTTCGGACGGATGTTTGATGAAAAATTATATTATAAATATTTACAAGTCTTAAGTGGTCGGCATTGAAGAACAAGGGCTTAGATTGAGAGTGAAAAAGAGTTTACAAAAATCCAAAAAATGTAGACACCCTCCAAAGTGTTGTTCAAAGTAGGCCACTGAAAGTGCATGTATCTTATATACCTATTTTATACTAGTTTTCAGAAATGTTTTGGAATGATACGTCCAACTGGGCCAACGTTTTTCCATATATACTGTGTACTTGTATTCAGTGTTAAAGCCTCCGAAATCTGGAAACTGTTCGAATCTGGACGTTTATGTATTTTCTTAACCAATATAATAAAGAAACTATGCGTAACAGCAGTATTATGACTACACCGTCGTTAGCTCAAAAATATCTTTGGCATAGAATATTTTAGTTACAAAGTATGCCAGGAATAGTGATAATTTGTTTACACTACAGGTCGTATTAATAGGGACCGAGGAAGGCTATGGCCCGGGACCCACATCGAACCACAGCCCTAAAGATGTAACGTGCAAGTGTTTATTTTATTTGTTTATTTATTGTCAATAAAATTCTTTATTGATTGATTTAATTGATTACAGTTATGATGAATTTCCGAAGATACGAGACCTCCTTGTATATAATATTATTTAGAATTAAAAAATTGGTAAGTATGTTTTTACCAAAAAAACCGGCCTAAAACTCTTATTGGATTTTGATATAAATGTCTTTTGGTTATCGAAATATGTTGTTTAAAAAAATGTAATATTTATGTTATATACAAAAGTGAAAATGATTTAATGATGATAAAAATTATTTTTAGTAATTACTAGTAGAACTTTAACTAGTTTGTAAGGCAAAAATATGTAATTAAATGTAGAAAGGGTGTGTGGAACCAAATGATAATTAATTTATCTTACACTATACTAAGTAAGCAACTTAAGAAACACCATGGAGCATACACAAAAATAAAAACATTAATGTGAAAACAATACCTTTGCAACTAAGTATTGAAGCTAAAATGTTTAACGATTAGGTTATTAGTAAATTACTAAGAACATTAAAAATGATTTTTACCTGCCAAAACGAAACCATTTCGTTTAATTGCATTTTCTATAGGACGAATACTTGAAATACTAATACTGCAACCAACTTTTAGAAACTATACAGAAAGACTAACTAGGTTTTTCATTATTCTAAAATGTATAATCTCACGCGCACTCTTACTACTACTTAGAACAAATAAATAGTATGAAGTTTACAAAAGAACATTGTTGTAATTCACAATTACGTTCTTAAGCTATGGGAAACTCATATTTTAATTAAAATATAATTTTTTAATATATATACTTTAAGCTACTATTTAATATTTTTATAGCGTTGAATTAATAATATTTTACCTACTAAAAAGAAACAATTTCATTTAATTAAATTTAAGTAGGAAGTACGATTATTCAATAATTATTCAATATTTTGCATTATATGAAATAAAGCCCGCATAATTAGGTCGTAATAATAAGGGTGTTACTGCATATATATATATTTATATATATATATATATATATATACAAATCAATGTAAAGAAAATAATGTGGTTTAAATTGCATTATTCGGGGTTATGTAACCTACCCGACATAATTTATTTATTATTTATTTTGGTATAATAATAACCTAGGGATTGCATACCTTATAATTTAATAAAATTTAGTTTTAACAATCCTATAATTTCTATGGTGGAATACGAGATTTAAAAATATAGCTATATACATATGAAACATTTTTTTTATAACAATACCGCTTTTTATAAAAGTTAATTATTTTACCAACGTTTCTATGACCCATGGAGATTTTTTTGTAGAAATATAGCATAATACATGTATATTTTTAATATTCTACAGAACTATTGCTTTTATAATAATTTTCTAGTGAATAAAAAAATAATTGTTCTCGGGTCCATATGAAAAAGCGTTAAATTGGTGTTTTATTTTGCATGATTTCAAGTGCACAGGTGTGTTTTTTTTTTATTATTAACTTGCTAATATTTGTATGATATATAGAGGGACCATTCGAGTAAATCGGTTAGGGAATTTTTTATTCTAAAATATCACTTTTTCAGGTTGGCCTAAAATTAAAAAAAAAAGTATAATATTACATTTTTTATATCATATTTTTCAAATGAACTTTCAGTTGATTTATGATTATCTTACTGGATGTAAACTTAACCGAAATTAGCGTGAAATGTAAATAATATTAAATCTTTCTAAATTTGAAGCCGTCTTAGACCCGGCCGGTGGAAATAACGAACGTTAGACCTAAAAGAAATAAAACACCCTGACTTTAAAATCCTAAATTATTGGAATTTGTTTTCAAGTTTTAATAAATGAGTAATCATTAAAAAAAAAACATTTTAAACTTTATTCCTTTATCGTATTCCTATTCATGCTGTGTACTGATATTTTTAATTGTCCATGGAAAGGTATAATATTTACTGATTTTACCACTTCAAAATTATTAGGCATTTAAGTTTGAATTAGTTATAACTTTTACTTATAACTGTTCAACTGTTTTATAACTGTTTTTCAACGATGTTATGAGTATATAATCTTTATAGAACTAGATTATATTTAACAAAAACAATAATTTATGGACTTAATATTTTCAGGAGTCACGCATTATAAATGGTGCAAGCCTAAATAACATTATCGTTATACTTATAGCGGTAATATTGTTTTTGGTAGTTCTATACTATAAAATAGTAAACCAAAGAAAGACGTCATTGGCAAATCGAATACCCGGTCCAGATGGATTCTTTTTCTTGGGAATGTTACCCGTTTTACTTGGAGGACCTGAAAAACTATTGACGAATATTTTAAACATTGCCAGAAAGTAATTACATATATTCACGAATTTCTATTACATTGTATTACTATATTAACTATTTCATGTCTTAGCTCTGGCACATAACCGAAAAAAGTGTTACCAAAAATTAATAACGAAAAAAGTTTTTCAGCCGAGTCGGCAACCACGAAAGAGCATGTTCATGTCTCGTTAAATTACCAAATAAATTTAGATTAGTGATTGAATTATAGATAATGAAATAGTATATTAACATACTAGTATCTAAGATGGCTAGTAAACGTATCAAGTTTCTGGCTAATATTTTAGTGTTATCATAATAACTGGTTTTAAACAATTCATAGGAAATATTATGACCTGTTTATTTATTGAATTTGTGTTCACTTATAAATTGATCTTTGTGATTACAACATATCTATTATCTATATTGTCTTATCAGATAATAGCGTTACGCTTTTTTCGATTTTGTGCCAAGGCAAACCATCCCCATTCCCATCCCTATTACCACTCCCAACCCCATTACCACCCCAACCCCATTTAAGCCAGATATAAAACACTACATAATTAGGCAGAAATTGATGTTTTAATATACTAGCTTGTTACTGCTTCTTAATATACTATATCATTATCTATATATCCACCACTACTCTATATTTATTCGGTACTTCAACGAAACATGAAAAAGCTCATTCGTGGTTGCAGACTCGGCTAAAAAACTTTTTCTATTAATTTGAGAGCAACAATACCTACATAGTGTCTATGTGATATAGATACGAGAATACTTTAATTAAATGGTGATTTCTAGATAGCAATAATTTGTTCTTTGTCTTTGTAATACAGTTACGAGAACACTTTATTCAAAGCATGGGTTTTTAATCGATTGTACATATTTTCTAAAACACCTGAGGTTGTAGAAGCAGTTCTTACCAATCCTAACCTTTTCAACAAATCTAAAGAATATAACGTGTTTAGCGAATCAATTATGGGCAATGGATTATTTTTAAACAAGAAGTTTCATGAATGGAAAATGAACAGGTAAATTGTTCAGAGTTATTTTATATTTATTTATCATTAAACTTATAATAAAAATAATATAGCGTCAATATGTATACCACATTCTAAAAAATAATGTACACAATTAATACTTGACTTTTAAATTCTAGGAATTCATTTTTTTTACCAATAATTATAATGTTTTCTTTAAATGTTATCTAATATCAAATATAATTTTAATTTGGTATGATAAAATGTATAGAAAAATGGTAGCTGCGGGGTTTAAATTTTCAATGCTTAAATCGTTCGTACCAAAATTCTTTAGCAAAATATTGTACAAAAAAAGAGAAATCAACTCAAATGAATGTGAAATAAGCTCTGCATTCGGTTCGGCGACTTTGGAGATGATCGGAAGAACCGCTTTGGATGTAAAGTTGAATGCACAGAAAAACGACAATCATGAGTTTTTGGAGAATTTACAAGTCATCCTAAAGGTATACTTACTACTTTTAGTGTTGCTTAACCAATATTTTTTAAACCAGATGCGGAACACTAAAATTTAAGATCCAGAGCCAGTAAATTGTTCGGTGCCCAGCTGTTTTCTACGGCCAAGCCCTTTTGCCTTGGCCGGCTACCACATGACTGATTTTCATTACCGTTATCAATAGTTTCTTGCTGTATTTCCGGCTCTCTTTGTCCCGTTTGGTCTCCGGTTTCCATTCGAAAATAGTTTTTCTTTTGGTAGTCCATTGGGATAATGAAACGGAGGCCCGGCGCCATACCCCTTCTTGGTTCCCATTAATCCGGTCCTGCAGTGTAAACAAATTATCACTATTCCTAACATACTTTGTAGCTAAAATATTCTATGCAGAAGATGTTTTTGAGCTGGCATGTCAACATTTTGTAATACAAATTGATTTTTGTAGGTTTTTGAATATCGAATAACACACCCATGGTTTCTGAACAGGAGTCTGTTTCAGTTTTCGACGTATAAACGTAAACATGACATTAGCCAAAATACAATTTACAATTTCATCGATGATTTAGTTCAGAGAATAAATACTGAATTGAAAAATAATAAAAACAGTCAAGGAGAACATAACGAAGAGTGTATGGGCTTTAAATCTAAATCTTTTATTGAAATACTGCTCGAGAATGAACATCAGATGACATTTAACCAAATACGAGATGAAATAATAACTATTATAAGTGGTACGTTTTTATTGAAAAATTTTATTTGGAGAGAATTGGTGGCGTGTGTATTATAATTGGTCTTGAAAAATTTTTAAGATTTAGTTCGTACTTTTATATACTTATAACAGTGTTTAAACGTTTGAAAAAAGTGAAAAATCTAGGGCGGTGATTAAACTCAATTATTTATTCATGTTGGTAATCGTGAATAGAAAACCCGATTATTAATTTTATCCAATGCCATAAAATAAACTCGAAATTAAGTTTCAAAACACAATTTACCACGTTCAATGCCCTAAAAAATAAACAATGTGTACATATTAAAGCATTATGACTATTTTTTTTTAATTTGGTTTTAGCGGCTCAAGACACAACAGCTTTTACAAATGCATGTGCAATATTTATGTTGGCTCACCATCAGGATATACAAAATAAAGTAAAATATAATTCGTATTTAGTTTTATTAATTATAAAAAATAAAACATTTTATATATTCATGGTAATTATATATTTTTTATTTCTGCTTATAAATAGGTGTTGGAAGAATTACTGGCAATATTTTCTTCTGGCGACCCAGATCGACAACCTACCTATGAGGATTTACAAAAGATGGATTACTTGGAACGTGTAATCAAAGAAGCTCTGAGACTATATACCGTTACTCCCTTGTTGGGCAGAAAAGTCGAAAAGGAAACAATGATTGGAGGCTAATTAATCCCGGAAGGTACGGCCGTAGACAAATTTGTTTGATAGGTTGCCACATTTGGTGCTTAAATTTACTAATACATTTTATTTTTAAAAATATCTACGTTTATAATTTGCACTCAGCTTTTACACTTAAATGCAAATTTATACCCGGAACCAGAAAAGTTTAATCCAGACAACTTCTTGCCCGAAGCATGTCGCAGTCGCCATCCGTATTCGTTCATTGCCTTTAGTGGCGGTTACAGGAATTGCGTTGGTAGCAAATATGCAATGCTTCAAATGAAATCCGTCGTCTCAACACTAGTCCGGTCTATCGTTTTTACCCTTCGGATAAGTGTCCTAAGCCAGAAAATCTTCGTTTAAAGTTTGCGATGACACAGCAGTTTGTCGACGGGTGTTACGTTAAAATAGAAGCGAGAACGTAATCAATTATTGCAGCAGGGTTTTGGACACGAATTATTTACATATTTGGATATGGTTATTTGATTAGTTATGTAATCTTATGGGTTAAGGTTTCGTTATATTTATAGGTTTTAGGTACACCGGAGTTAGTTAACTAAAATAATAACTTTACCTTTATAGCATGTGCCAATTTGTTGGTGCTGTCTAGACTTTTAAATATCTTCCATACATTATTTAAGTGGCGGTCTATATAAATATTTTCCTCTGTTATTTAGATATCGTTTATCTGTTAGTTGGTATTTTGTATACTTTGTGAAAAAATTTTAGTAGAGAAAACTGGTTAATCTTAACTTACCATTAATTAATGAATTTGGTAAAATTCATTACATTTTCAGCAGACACTTATTAAATATTTTAATTATCACTTATAATAAACTTTTATTCAAACAGAGACCTTTATCTAACGGAAGTTTAAAACCATAGCAAACTTGTAACAATATTTAACAACTTATGGATAGTTACAACTAACAAACTGTATTTATATGTGCTACAAACACCATTTGTCTTTTACATTTATATTACACCAAAACTAAATAAATTAACCCTAAGCAACATAGTTTTTAACGCTACCTAGTATTAGACTAAAATTAAAAAAAACAAAAACTTTTTAACCAAAAAATTTGAATTTAAATACACAGCAATGACATTTGCCATATTACAATTTAATTATTAGAAAATATTCACACATATCTCTTGTTAGATATTTCTGATTGAATGATTTGAAGTCAATACATTTGTATTTTAATAAGTAGTGGACCACATATACTTTCACCCAACTGATTCATTTTTATCTAAAATAATTTTAATTATAAATTAATATTAATATATGTTATAATGTGATATAATTTTTAAAATAGAAGCGAGAACATAATCAATTATTGTACCATGGTTTTGAACCAATATGAATACTTATTATTCAAATAAGGATTTCATCTAGATAATAATGTAATTCTAATTGGTTATCATATTTTTTGGATTTTAGATACATCGGTGTTGGTTAACAAAAATAATATCTATAACTAATAACTAATTACAAATTGTTGGTGTTATCGCGTCTCAATATATTTTCTACAAATTGTTTAAGCTGTCTATATTAATCTTTTCCTTCGTTTTTAGACATAATTTATCCGTTCATTTAATAAATTCTTTATATCAATATCTTTATTTAGTATAAGTAGAGTAGTATAAGTGAATAGAAAGTAGTACTCTTTGAAATATTAAAAATATCATAGTACTTTTGTATGACTAATAATAATTATAATTATAAATTATAAGGCATGTGATGTTACGTGTAGATGACTTTATCTATATTTGTATAAGTACATTAGTAGATGAAAAAACCGTGGTTCTTTTGTTGAAATGATAATTCTGCTATGCATAGCCCTAACGTTAAAATTTGTTGTGATTGTGTAGTTTTGTGGAATAAAACAAACATATCGGTGTACCTCTGTCTGCTCTTTAAAACTGTCCAAGCTCATTTTTAAATATGTTGTATTATTTATTTTCGTTAACTTTCAAGAAAAAAAGTGTATCCTCAAAATATAATTTTATTAACATTTTGTTGACGTTCAAGTGCCAATTTGGCGTATTTATAAGTATAGTTCTATTGTGGACAAACAATTTTATATTTTCATCTATTTTGATTTTAAAGATATATATTTTTTTCCCATAAAAGCATAAAAAATAACTTTGCCTTCAAAGTTATAGTATGAAATTAGTTTAGTACTAGTTAAGTAAAATGAAGTTAAGGTTAAAACTATTAAAACCTTAGAGGTGAAACAACTTTGAAAGTGGATAAATCAATAAAAAGGATATCTTTTTATGGATATTTTTTAAAGATGTCAGTACAGCATAAAATATAATATAATAAAAGAAACGAGATTTGAGGTTGTTGGTTTACCTAAATATCAATACAACCAACTGTTTCGAAGCAGAAAATGACTTATTTATTAATGTATATTTAAATACTGTTAAAATTGAACATTACCTGATCTTTTATTGTTTTCATAAAACCTATATGTAAATGCCACAAAAGCTCAAATATGTTTTGGTATGTAAAATTTACAGCTACATTATTTTCAGCAATGTCTATATACATTTATTCAATTATACATTATAAAATTATGTATATTTGTGAGATAATAATTATAATAAATGTAAAATTAAAAAAAAACCTTAAAATATCTCACAATCCATTGCTATACCTTAGGAATACTAATAGCTAAGAGACATGTTAATCTAGTTTTAATGGTATAAATAATATTTAACCCTATACAATTTATCAATAGAACTATTATTCTTACACAAATACTAGTGTATGCGACTTATGAATAAGTTTCTTGATATCAAATACTTATTCTTGAAAAACGTATTACCTTATATATACAAATTTCAGTTAATAAATGAGACTCAATATCGTTACCCTGCGAGGAAAATCAGTGCAACATTAATTTATGCCGTACTTGGAAAGCTCAAAAATGTTTTAGTCATATAGCTTTTAATTATACCACTAAACTTCCATTTGACTACCAATTTATTGGCTTTGTAAGTTTAAATGGGATATTAGGTGGTTTATATATTGATGTGACCGTACAATTTGTAACTTCTACTGTGATAATTTTTATGTTGTTGATTTCTGTATGACTTGTTGAGAGGATCTTTAGATTATAACTAACAAATATCATACTTCCATACTTCTTATGAGGTCTCTCAATTGCCAGCTTTATTCCCCTTATCTTCGGACGGATGTTTGATGAAAAATTATATTATAAATATTTACAAGTAAGTTTTAAGTGGTCGGCATTGAAGAACAAGGGCTTAGATTGAGAGTGAAAAAGAGTTTACAAAAATCCAAAAAATGTAGACACCCTCCAAAGTGTTGTTCAAAGTAGGCCACTGAAAGTGCATGTATCTTATATACCTATTTTATACTAGTTTTCAGAAATGTTTTGGAATGATACGTCCAACTGGGCCAACGTTTTTCCATATATACTGTATACTTGTATTCTGTGTTAAAGCCTCCGAAATCTGGAAACTGTTCGATTCTGGAAGTTTATGTATTTTCTTAACCAATATAATAGAGAAACTATGCGTAACAGCAGTATTATGACTACACCGTCGTTTTAGGACAAAAAAATACATAACCTGTTTATCTATAACCATGATTGTAGGTATATGTGTAATCAGTAAAAAAAACATTGGTAAAATATAAAGATGAAAAATTGTAATTTAATAACATGTTAAAAGGCCGACACAATAAACGCGGAGAGAAATTTTCAAATTTTCATCAATTTCAAGTGAGTATAACTTTTTAATGTAAGAATAAAAATACAAATTTTTTAACCAATTCTTTTTTAAAAACTCTTCTAAATAAATAGGCTATTTTGAAAAAAAAATATATATATAAAATTAAAACAAGAAGTGCAACAAGAAACGTGGTACTTATAGCGCGAATGAGTATAATTTAATTAAACAAAAAAAAACCTTAAAAATATTCACTAAAACAAAAGTTATCTCATTTGTCGAATCATTGTGGAACACCCTGTATAGACAGCTTAAATAGTTTATAGAAGATATATTTGGAAAGAAATGACAACACCAACAAATTGGTAAGCCAAAATAATAACTAAGCCTAATGACAAATAGCGCAAAACACTTCAAGTCCAAGTATGGGTTTTTTGAGATATTTATGTACAATGCAACTGTATACCATATGCTATACCTCCTCAAATCCAATTATGTTAAAAATCGTTTTAAAGAGTGATTTTAAATTATATTTAAGTCCGTTATGTAATATCTCAATGTTTGTACAATTTTAAAAAGCTCATTCTTAAAACACCCATTTTTGGACTTCATGTGTTTTGCGTAAACGGGAACGATATGTGTTATTAGATATAAGTATTACCTCGGTTAACTAAATCAACATAATTACGCGAACAACTTTAACCAAATATGTAAATAATTCTGGTTTAAAATCCTAATTCAATAATTGATCACATTCTCTCTTCTATTCTAACGTAACACCCGTCGACAAACGCTTGTGTCCCAGCATAAGTTAAACGAAGATTTTCTGGTTTTGGACACTTGTCCGACGGACTGAAACGATAAGATCTGACCAATGTTGAGACGACAGATTTCATTTGGAGCATTGCATATTTCATACCAATGCAATTTCTGTAACCACCGCTAAAGGGAAGGAACGAATACGGATGGCGACTGCGACATGCTTCGGGCAAGAAGTGGTCCGGATTGAACTTTTCTGGTTCCGGATAAAGGTTTGCATTAAAGTGTATGCGACCAGAGCAAAATATGACCGATGAACCTGTGGATATTTTTTTATAATTACCTAAATTAGTAGTTTCAAACACCGAATGTAGCAATTTATCAAACAAATTTGTCTACGGCCGTACCTGCAGGGATTAAGTAGCCTCCGATAACAGTTTCTTTTTCAACGTTTCTGCCAAACAAGGGAAAAGGGGGAAAATGTCTTAGAGTTTCTTTGATTACACGTTCCAAGTAATCCATCTTTTGTAAATCCTCGTAGGTAGGTGGTCGATCCGGATCGCCAGTAGAAAATATTGTCAATAACTCTTCCAATACCTATTAAGAGTGATAATTAAAATTTATCATGTTTTTGTCACTAAGAATACCTATAATGGGTATTTAATTTAAAAGTTCATAATACTGAATACGTAAAATAGTATACTTTATTTTGTATATCCTGATGATGAGCCAACATAAATATTGAACACGCTATCGCCAAAGCTGTAGTATCTTGACCCCCTAAAACCAAATATTAAGGATAGAATTAAAGGAAATACAGCGCTTTAACGATTTGATATGTCATAGGTAACGCATTGTGTATTTGTTAGAGAATTGAATGTTATCAAATTTACAACCTGTTTTGATATTCACGAATAAGAACACAAATATATAGTTGATATTATTTATCAAAATAAAGTATACCGCTAATAAATGTTAAAAAAAATATATATATATTAGAGTAATTCAACAAATAAGATCATTTTTTTAATTTAAATAATGACGCAATAAAAAATTATGAAATTGTTTTGACCGGTTATTATAACATTTTGTCTAGACCATTCGATCAATTTGAGTAATCATAGATTTTATGATAATTGAAAAGTACCACTTTATCCACTTTATTAGCAAATAACGTACCAACTGTGTCTTAACATTTTTTAAGGTCAACTATAATACACATGCCAACAATTATTTCTTAATATAATGTTTAAAAAAAAAATGTACCAATTATAGTAGTTATTATTTCATCCCGTAATTGATTAAATGACATCTGATGTTCATTCTCGAGCAGTATTTCAATAAAAGATTTACATTTAAGGCCCATACACTCTTCGTTATGTTCTCCTTGACTGTTTATCCTATTTTTCAATTCTGTTTTTTTTTCTGGACTAAATCATCGATGAAATTGTAAATTTTATTTTGGCTAATGTCATGTTTACGTTTATACGTCGACAACTGAAACAGACTCCTGTTCAGAAACCATGGGTGTGTTACTCGGTATTCTACAGCCTACAAAAACAAATTTTTATTACTAACAGCTGACATGCCAGCTCAAAAAAAAACATCAGTCAAGTACGTTTAAGTATGTAAAGTATGGCTAGTGATATTGAAAACTCTTTTACACTGCAGGCCCGGATTAATGGACCCCATTCTAGGGTCTCCATAAACTACCAAAAAAAAATAACTTTTGTTTATTAAAAATGCGAACAAACCTTTTGGATGAAATGTAAGTTCTCCAAAAATTCGTGTTTGGCGTTTTTCTGTGTATTAAATTTTACACCCAAAGCGGTTCTTCTGATCATCTCCATTGTCGCCATCCCGATTGCACAGCTTATTTCGCATTCATTTGTATTGCTATCCCGTTTCTCGTACAATACTTGGCTCAGGAATTTGGCTTCCTCGTAAAATATCGGTATGAACGATTTTAGCATCGAAAATTTAAACCCCGCGGCTACCAATTTTCTATAATTATCGAAACAAATTGAAACTGATATTTGATAATCGGTAACTTCGAAAAAGTGACATTGTAATAATTGGCGATAGAAATTAAAAACTAATTACATTCCGTAATCGATTACAAAGGGATTACAGGTTACACGTAATTCACGATTAATAATAAAATTGGATCAAATTAATTACCATAATCCTAAATTTTTGAATTAAGGATTATATTTAATCCTTAGTTTACGGATAACAGTATATGGTTTATATTATTGATCACAGGAGATCACACTAAAAAAGCTTACCTGTTATTTTTCCATTCGTCAAACACCCTGTTTGTAAATAATCCATCGCCCATAATTGATTCGCTAGCAACATTATAAAGTTTAGCTTTGTTGAACATACTAGGATTGGTAAGAATCGCTTCTATTTCTTCGGGGTTTCCTGGAAATACGTATAATTGATCCAAAATCCAAGCTTTGAATAAAGTATTCTCAAACCTATACCACAAAGACAACAAAACTAATTACTGTTGCTCTGAAATTACTAGAAATTGAGAATACCAAAAGAGTAATAATATGTAATAGTTAGACATGAACACAGCATAGTTACTTTCTGCCAACTTTTAATATATTCTTCAATAGTTTTTCAGGTCCTCCAAGTAAAACAGGTAGCATTCCCACAAAAAAGAAACCATCTGGACCTGGTATTCGTTTTGCTAATGATATCTTTCTTCGGCTTACTATTTTATAATACACAACTACTAAAAATAATATTACCGCTGTAAGTATAACGATAATGTTATTAAGGCTTGTATCATTTATTATGTCCGACACCTGAAAATATTGTGTCCATTAATTAATATTTTTTTATATCATAGTATTCTTTTTGTTAAATGTAATTTAGTGCTATACTAAACAATTTTATGTTGTAGCTAAAATATTAGTACAAACATTACAATTTTAGATAAAAGACAATTTAGAGGGATCTGAATAAAGGATAGTATAGTGTTATCATTTGACCATTGAAAAGGGTTTTTTTTTTAAATTTACATGGGTTTATTATTACTTGAACCCCTCGCCATAATAATAATTGAAATGTTGAGTTAATGATTTTTTTACCTGATGAGACGAAACCATTTCATTAAATTTCATTTTCTATAAGACGATGATTATCTGAGCAGTTATACACAACGAGTAATTGATTTTTTAATTATTCTTAACATTTATATTCTCATGCCTACGAACATTCAAAACGAATAAATAAACGATTATAAATAATATTATGATTTTAAATAAACGTTATTACAATTTACGTTCACATACATAATCGATGTGAAACTTGCATTTGAATAAAAATATGAATTCTATTGATGTGTTATAACGTATAATAAGTATAATCTACTATTGCATATTCAATAAGGTCATTGTATACAATTTCAATATCTACAATATCACTATTATAGTATTATATTTACGCATTAATAAAATGAATATCGTAACTAAAATGCTTCACATAGCTTAATGTATGTGAACTTGAATATAAATAACACATATTTAACATTTAATATTATTTGTTTGTTCTGAACACTCGCAGGAGTGTGTATGGCATAAGAGTGTAAGTGTTAAGAATATACAAACAAATTGAATTAGTCATTATGTATATCTGCTAAGAAAATTTCAGAAACCACGGGTTTGTTATTCGGTACTCAAAAACCTACAAAAACAAATTTGTTTTACAAAAGGCTGTCATACTAGCTCAAAAATATCTTCGGCATAGAATATTTTAGTTACAAAGTATGCCAGGAATAGTGATAATTTGTTTACACTACAGGTCGTATTAATAGGGACCGAGGAAGGCTAAGGCCCCGGGACCCACATCGAACCACAGCCCTAAAGATGTAACGTGCAAGTGTTTATTTTATTTGTTTATTTATTGTCAATAAAATTCTTTATTAATTGATTTAATTGATTACAGTTATGATGAATTTCCGAAGATACGAGACCTTCTTGTATATAATATTATTTAGGATTAAAAAATTGGTAAGTATGTTTTTACCAAAAAAACGGCCTAAAACACTTATTGGATTTTGATATAAATGTCTTTTGGTTATCGAAATATGTTGTTTAAAAAAATGTGATATTTATGTTATATACAAAAGTGAAAATTTATTTTAAACAATTTTTTTGGATAGAATTGGTGGCATTAGAGTTGGTCTTTGAAAAAGTCTTTGAGAGAATTGGTGGCGTGTGTATTATAGTTGGTCTTTTTAAGATTTAGTTTGTACTTTTATATACTTATAACAGTGTTTAAACGTTTGAAAAAAGTGAAAAATCTAGGGCGGGGATTGAACTCAATTATTTATTTATGTTGTTAATCGTGAATAGAAAACCCGATTATTAATTTGATCCAATGCCGTAAATTCAACTCAAATAAAACACAATTGACCACGTTCAATTCCCTAACAAATAAACAATGTGTACATATTAAAGCATTATGACTATTTTTTTAAATTTGGTTTTAGGGGGTCATGACACGACAGCTTTTACGAATGCATGTGCAATATTTATGTTGGCTCATCATCAGGATGTACAAAATAAAGTAAACTTTAATTCGTATTGTTTTATGAATTTCAAAATTAAATATTATAAATATTCTCGGTAACTAAAAAATGATATATTTTGTATTTCTGCTTATAAATAGGCGTTGGAAGAATTATTGGCAATATTTTCTGCTGGCGACCCAGATCGACAACCTACCTATGAGGATTTACAGAAGATGGATTACTTGGAACGTGTAATCAAAGAAACTCTGAGACTATATACCGTTACTCCCTTGTTGGGCAGAAAAGTCGAAAAGGAAACAATGATTGGAGGCTATTTAATCCCGGAAGGTACGGCCGTAGACAAATTTGTTTGATAGGTTGCCACATTTGGTGCTTAAATTTACTAATGCAATTTATTTTTAAAAATATCTACAGGGTCAACGTTTATAATTTGCACTCAGCTTTTACACTTAAATGCAAATTTATACCCGGAACCAGAAAAGTTTAATCCAGACAACTTCTTGCCCGAAGCATGTCGCAGTCGCCATCCGTATTCGTTCATTGCCTTTAGTGGCGGTTACAGGAATTGCGTTGGTAGCAAATATGCAATGCTTCAAATGAAAACTGTAATCTCAACATTGGTCAGGTCTTATCGTTTTTATCCGTCGGATAAGTGTCCTAAGCCAGAAAATCTTCGTTTAATGTTTGCGATAACACAAAAATTTGTCGACGGGTGTTACGTTAAAATAGAAGCGAGAACATAATCGATTACTGTAGCAGGGTTTTGGACACGAATTATTTACATATTTGGATATGGTTATTTGATTAGTTATGTAATCTTATGGGTTAAGGTTTCGTTCTTTTTATAGGTTTTAGATACATCGGAGCTAATTATATGATTACTTATTATTCAAATAAGGGTTTCATCTGGATAATTGTGTTATCATATTTTTTGGATTTTAGATACATCGGTGTTGGTTAACAAAAATAATATCTATATTTAATAACTAATGACAAATTGTTGGTGATATCGCGTCTCAATATATTTTCTACAAACTGTTTAAGCTGTCTATATAAATGTTTCCTTCGTTTTTAGTCATAATTTATCCGTTCAATTAATAAATTCTTTATATAAACATCTTTATTTAGTATAAGTAGAGTAGTATAAGTGAATAGAAAGTAGTACTCTTTGAAATATTAAAAATATCATGGTACTTTTGTATGACTAATAATAATTATTATTATAAATTAT